ACGAGGCCCCTTTGCAGCTGGCCAGCCCATCGGCCCCCCCGGACGGACTCGGCTGTCGGTGTCTTGTCTGAACGGCCGATTGGTCTCGGCACAGCCAAACCCGCCTGATCCCAGCCCCACTCATGGGACAACCCTAAGGGAGTATCTTGCAAATGAGCGGGCGTTCATTAACCCCCACATACGTACACGCACACACGCGTGCACACACGCACAAACACACGCATACACTCCAAAACAACTAGCACACCCCATAATCACAGCCTGCATGTTTCCATCTTTGGAACGTGGAATCCCTAGGAGCGTGTAACACACGCATGCACACTGCACGCATACACATGCATACACACTGTGCGCGCGCACACACACACACACACACATACTGTGCACACACGCACACACATGCTTGCACACTGCGTGCACACATGCATGCACACACGCATGCGCACACACACATGCACACTGCGCGCACACACATGCATGCACACTGTGCGCGCGCACAGACACACACACTGTGCACACACACACATGCATGCACACACACATGCACACACACGCATGCACACTGCGCGCACACACATGCATGCACACTGTGCGCGCGCACAGACACACACACTGTGCACACACACACATGCATGCACACACACATGCACACACACGCATGCACACTGCGCACACACACATGCATGTACACTGTGCGCGCGCACAGACACACACACTGTGCACACACACACATGCATGCACACACACATGCACACACACGCATGCACACTGCGCACACACACATGCATGTACACTGTGCGCGCGCACAGACACACACACTGTGCACACACACACATGCATCATCAGCCGGTAGCATTTCTCCTGTCTGCAGCCGGGAACATTTCCGTGATTCATTCTCGTTTGCACAATTCCTGATTCAGACACACGAGCAAAGCTGAAATCCCTTGAGCCAGCAATACCTCAGGGCTGCCGCCTCGGTTTGGAACAAGCGAGAGCTTTTCCTGTCGCCTCCGCAGCTCTGCCCAGCTCCTGTGGCATCTTCCCGGGCTCCTGGAGGGCGGGCAGCGCAGGGACCCATTTATAGGCGGTGTCTGGCGTGTTCCGGGTTTACTCCGAATCGGGTCACCGCGCGTGCAGGACGACAAACCTGTTCTGCCTCATTTTGCGGCTCTGCTGCTGAGCAGGGTGGGGGAAGGAGTGGCGACGGCTCACTCTGAAATGACCCAGAACCAGAGAAGTGCTTACAACTGGGAAACGGGAGCGCTGGGGTCCCTGGCTCCCTGCGGGCTGCGGCCAGCTCGCCCCGCGGGCCACATCCCACCTGGAGAAGGGCTGGGGCCATCGCTGGCAGCCTTTGTTCGAAAGACTCTTCTGCAAGGAGGGACAATAGAAAACAGCCGCACCGACCTGCCCAGGGTCCTTGTGTCCGTCCTCCCCCCCGGCATTTCTCTCGCCTTGCTCGCGGGGTGTTTGTCTCCCCCGTTTCGCTCTCACTCTTCATTTCTTCACGTCCTTTGTCGCTGGCCACTTGACCCTCTTCTCGCTCTTTCCTTGCAGCCCTGTGGAACTGGAGCCACCAAGCCCCCTGACACGGGAGAGCCCTCTGCTTCGCTGCCTGGCGCGTCGGGAGGCTTTTCGCTCAGGCTGGAGAAGCTCGTGGCTTTAGCCCGCAAGGTTGCAGGTTCTGTTCCTCCTGCTCATGAACCGGGTCTGTGGACTTTACAAGGAGGGGCTCTTCCTGCAAGGTCCCACCAATGCTTGCCCCCATCACAGGCCCGATGGCAGCCCTAGAGGTCAGAGCATTGGCCTGGCAGACCAAGTTTCTTGAGTCTGGCCCACTCCCTAAACTAGCCCCTCCCCGCCATGATGAAAACCCAGTTTCCCTTCTGTCCATTCAGATGGGCCAAAGATTTCGCGTTGCAGAGAACCGGTTTATTGAGGAGCCGGGTGGACCGGCCCTTCCCCTTCCCAGCTCAGCGCGCTTCTCTGCTTGTGCTGCTGCAGCAAGTTATTACATTTCAGAGAGATGCACAAGCCCAGAGGTGCCGGGCTCTGAGCTGCCAGATTGAGGAGCCGGGTGGACCGGCCCTTCCCCTTCCCAGCTCAGCGCGCTTCTCTGCTTGTGCTGCTGCAGCAAGTTATTACATTTCAGAGAGATGCACAAGCCCAGAGGTGCCGGGCTCTGAGCTGCCAGACCCAGAGGTGCCGGGCTCTGAGCTGCCAGGCCCAGAGGTGCCGGGGTCCGAGCTGCCAGACCCAG